CTATGCAGTGGGGGGTTTTGGTGGCCTGCTGGCCAATTTGTCTTTCTGAGGAGCACCCCAGACTGTTTTTTGTGTTTGTTTGTTTGTTTTTTGGTTTTTTTTTTTCCCTCCCCTCCTTTAATACTAGGAGTTCATATCTGTGATTCCTACCTGTGGCATGGTGATTCATAGAGGGGGTTGGGATTTTTTTTCATAACAAGAGGAGGTGCTACAAGGAGCACTGTTCCGTGGGCAGTCTGAAGCAAGCATCAGAAATGATGTTATGAGAGAGAAATGGAAGAAGCACGTGGTACCCGTTGTTACCACCAGTTGCCTGAGGCTAGGTTGGGTGTCCGAAAGCTTGCCCCACCTAGGATTACAGTCACTCACCCACCAGTAGCAAAACCGCAGCACAGGTTTGGCCAGATAAATGCCCCTGGGTGCGACCTGGAGTGAGGGTAACACGGGGAGTTGGGGAAGGATTTTAGGGAGACCTTGGCTTCCCTGTGAGGACTGAGGTGTTGCATGAACCCCTTGGCCGCTGCCTCAGCACGGGGGGCTGCAGCTAGCTTGCTGGTTCCAGCTGGGGAGGACATGGGGCAAGCAGAGAAGTGCTGTCTGAAGCATCTAGTTTCTGACAAGTTAGATGCTTGTCTCTGAAGGCTCTCTGTCTTGTCACCCATGAAAACCTTTCTTATTTGAAGGCAGTTCATAATCTTTCCCCCGCCTCCAATTTGCCTTTCTGTCTAGGATCATTTCTCATCAAGTCAGGAATCCATCTCGGGTGGCGTTGGCTGGGTTTCTGTGCAGAGGGAGAAAGATGAATTATGCACGTTCAAATGTTTTCTTGAAGTGTCTTCTCTGTTTGCCTTGAATCCATGGAAATGTGATGCATGTCAGTCGTAGGCGGATAAAGATTTCGTTAATCACATCTCTGATGAATGCTAATTGAAAATGAAATTTGTCATGGCATAACCAGCGGTGTCACAGACGCATTTCACTTGTGCTTGCGTGTGTGTGCACGAACTTCCATGTAAGCTCTGCTGGTCCAGAACCCGTGTTCTCCAGAAATTCTGGGCATCTGCTTTGTTTTGTGTCTTGCGGCATCTCATCCAGTGGCAGAGATCAGCTCAGGCATGTGCTATGTAGTTTTTGGTGGGTTTTTTGTTTTGTTTTGTTTTTTTGTTTGTTTGTTTGTTTGTTTGTTTTTAAAAGACCATAAAATTAAACTTATTCTGGGGCTGGTTCCTGGGAGGCAAGCATTCACCTACCAGTACCTTTTGGCTTATTGATAATTGAAATGTAATGGCTCACTGAGTTACTGGTGAAGCTCTTGGGTCTGCTGTAGTCATTAGAGCAACAGGCAAGTTGGTTTCTTTTCAGCTGCTATGAAAAGCAGGGCTGGTTGTGACAGGACAAGGGGTAATGGTTTTAAACTAAATCAAGGTAGGTTTAGACTGGATATAAGGAAGAAATTCTTTACAATGAGGGTGGTGAAGCACTGGAAGGTGTTGCCCAGAGAGGTGGAGGCCCCATCCCTGGAACGATTCAAGGCCAGGCTGGACAAGGCTCTGAGCAACCTGATCCAGTTGAAGATGTCCCTGCTCACTGCAGGGGGGTTGGGCTGGGTGACCTCTAAAGGTCCCTTCCAACCCAAACCATGCTGTGATTCTGTGATTCTAAAACTGGATAGAAATGTACGGGCGCCCTCCTGCCTGGATCCTGCCTGCTGCCGGAGGGCCTGCCTGGACCTTACCCTTCAATCCTATGCTTGTCAGGGCCATGTGAAAACAGGACAGTGGCAGCAGCGGCCTCTGAAGCATAGGGACCTCTAGTCCCTGGGCCTGACTTCTGGTGTTGGATCTTCGGGTGTGTTGTCCGTAGACAGCCCAGCTTGGTCCTGCCTTGCAGCCTGGATAAGGAAATTGCTCTTGCGGCCCCAAAGGACGAGGCTGAACGACCTCGTAGCCTCCCCAGTGCAGTGCAGTAATCCCAACAGCGATGTCGGGCGCGAGTGCCTTTCTGGAAAGGTTTTACAGAGGCTGTGCAAGCATCAAGATAGGAAGGTCAGGGTCAGGCCTCACGGCGCCTCTCTTTCTTACTGCATTCAGGAAAAGAAAAATGTATCTCACCTTGAGAGGCTGGTGTGTGCTGAGACTCCTTGTTTGGGTCACCAAATGACATATGTTAATGAACCTGTCCTACACAGTGCCCCTTCCTTGCTTTCGCTACAAGCCCCCTTCTTCCCAGTGGCAGAAAGGCAAAGATCGTGACGGGCCTTGGCTCGACGGGCTACGCTGAAAGCGTGAGGGAGGTACCTGCTCAGGAGGATTGTGCGATGCCAGCTCTTGAGCATCAGCCTGAAGAATAGGAAAGTGTTACCTGCTTATTGGACCAGGCTCTTAGGCTGGGGAAATTGTACTTTCAGCGCAGCCCAGAGATATTTGTGTGGGTCAGAGGTGGACTTGCAGAGCCCGCTTTTGTCTAACAAGCAAGAGGCAAATGTTTAAATGCATAGTTAGTTTCTTTTCTTCATTAAGGAAGTAATTTCTGTAGTCAGATTTGAACTGCGAATTGATATCTGTGGGGAAATTCGGAGGTGAGGCATTCCTCTCTTGGTACTAGTTAACAACTACAGTAGGACTTGTCCCCAAGCTGACTGCCCTACGTGTTGGCCATGGATGTGTTCCTCTAGGATGTGGGAGAGGTAGGATGGGCTAGAAGGTTTCAGATTAGTAAGTTGCCCTGAACTCATTGTTGGTCTTCTCTAGCCAAATAAAATAGGTGAAAAATTATCTCTGTCCTGGTAAGACACCCAGGAGAAAAGAGAGTATCGTGAACGTAAAATCTTTTTCTCCCTCAGCTGCTACCTCCAGCCTGCCCATGCCACTCCCTTTTCTCATGCAGCTTCATTGCTGTTAAGTTTGTGCTCTTATGTGAAACCAGGTATCGAGCCCTGTGGGATATTGTAGTAGTCTTGGCCCCTGGGGAGACAAATCCCCCTCCTGACTCTACATCAGGCCCCTCTGAGGAAAGGAGTGGTGTCTTTGGCAGGGGGTGATGCAGCGGTGGGTTCCTGGGGGGGATCTTCTTTAAGCAAAAGGAGGGACTCGCTTCCCTCAGTTGTGTGGCTCAGAGAGGTGGTTACCCAAAAAGTGTCTTATTCATCACTTGCAGAATAGCGTGAACTTCCAAGTTCGTTTGCTGGATTCTTGCTGCCACTTCAGAAATGATCTCTAGATTTGTACGTTTCCTTTATGTGAACAGGGCCATTATGTGAAAGCAAAAGCTCTTTCTGGATTGGAAAGGACTGAGGAAGCATTGAAGGAGTTTCTCTATTGTGTTGCCTTAAATCCTGAATGGAGCTCAATGAAGAAAGAAGCCCAAAAGGTATAAAATGTATTTACTGGCCACTTCTTGGCCATCGCGCTGCTCTTACTCCTGCAGCTCAGTGAAACTCTTGTTATTTCAGGTGACAGTAAACAGCCAAAGGATAATTCGGTAGATTCTCCAATAAACCTTAGTAGCATTACACTGTGCGTGGTGCCTCTTGGGTTTGGTTGGTCCCTCAGCCAGGGGGATTGCATATTTGTGGATTCCACTGCAATTCTGTAGGACTGGCCGCTGCCATTTGTAGATTACGCTTGCAGTGTGTTGGTCGGATTTGAGTACACCTGGATTTTGTAGACTGCTCATTTGGAGGCTGCTAATTTTAGTGGCCATCAGAAAACCACTTTTAAGTGGGAAGTGGCAGAGGGTTGAGAAGGGAAAGCTGTGTGCTGCCCTGTCCTGGAAAAATCCTGCTGTCTCCATAGCAGTTTGTATAACTTCCCATAAAAGGGACATGCTTACTGCTAACCAACCATTGCCAGGTTGTCCGTGACCGTCCATACAGGCAGCTTTCTATAAAATGAAATGAGGATTCAGCAAGGTGCTTAGTGGGGACTGGTGAGAGGGGGAACAGGCTCTACATAGCTTTTAGCTAGAGGTGAAATCTGCTTGAGGATAGAGGAGAGGGATGCAGAGGATGAGGAGAGCTGAAACACATCTCTGTTAGCCAGTTTTGATAGGAGAGCATAGTCTGAAGACTTTTGGAGGCAGGGGTCAGAGTGGAGAGGGGTCGGTGCAGGAGAAGGGTGCAACAGACTGCTGCCCTGGGTGTTCATGAGGAGCAGAGGCCTTCGGGGAGGGAGGTGGACACCAGAAGAGCACCTTGGGATGTGTCTGTGGTTGTGGTGGGGACTGCCATTCAAGTTTCCTGTGGGCATTGGGGAATGCAGGATTTCTTGGTTGTTGCAAGCTTCTTGGCAGCCAGAAGCGGTGACGTTTGTGTATCTGTGTTTGTACAAACATAAATATGTGTCGTAATTACTATTATTTTTTCTTTTTTTCTCTCTAATTGACTAGATAATGTGTGAGATGTTTTTCCCAGCCTTTGAAAATGTTCATGATAGTCTAACAGCACCTTTCTCTAGTCGAACATCCCATACAAGATTGAAACCTGCATTTCTGAGTAGCATAAACACACAGTCAGCTGCGGAAGATAGCTCTATTGCTGGGTCCTCAAAGGTAAAGTAAAAAGTGTTCAACATAAAAATACCAAAAGTAACACAAGGATCTGTCTGATCTGTGTGGCATTGTCTTTGTCTGCACTTACTTTCATGGTAAGCCTGTTTTCTCCATTGCTGTTGGATCTGTTGTTGGGACTTAGTTCCTCAGAAAAATAAGAGAATGAAACTCTTTCTTCAGAAAACAGTGTGGTGCCTTCACGTGGGTGTTGGTTATATTTGTGGTTTGTTTGGGTTTTTTTCCCTCTGTGCTTTTTATGCGCTCAGGAACATAATTTCTAGAGATGGGAGAGAAGTGTCCCTATTTCGTGTAACTTGAGAGTGGCCTTCTTTGATATGGACCTTTTTCCCTCGCTAAGGTCATTGTAGGGACACTGATCTATTGCTGATGTATACAACTAATAGGGGAAAAAAAAAAAAGCAAAGTTGTTTCATGCTGTATGTAACTGTTCTTAATTTTTTTAGGATACTGTGTTCAGGTTAACAAAAACCCCGTCCCAAGAATCTGATGTATTTAGAAGTACTGATTCTCCTGTTTCCCATCATGTTCTGGATCTCTATTTTGAAGACAACAAGAAGTCTTTGGGAGCTATTCTTTCCAGTTTACCTGGGCTTGGCTTAAAAAGAAAGCTGTCCAGTGATATGAGGGATTTACAAAGCTTGGATGTCCCCAATAAGATTCCTAAAAAAGGTTTGTGTTGTGGCTTAGAAAAAGGGATTTCTCTTGCGCATGCTTAAAAATGATAAACTACTTTTTTCCTCCCCCCTTTTTATAGCTGTCAGTGAAACATTCCCTACAAGGACTGGAATAATATTTTTTTTTTTTTTTTTTCTGGTGTGTCTGTTTCTGGTGTAACAGCCTATTTACTTTACTCCAGAGCAGTTTCAATTCATTCAATGAACACTATTTTCCTTTCTCAAATGGGCCATTTCCAACGTGTAATCCACTAACAGTTTAGGTCTTTGTGTTGCTGGTGCCGTTTCCATTTTCTAGGTCTCGGAGGTATAGCTGAACTTCATTGTCTTTCTATATGAAGGAAAGATGCAGTAAGACTGGAAGCTAATCTTTAACTGGCACCAGAAACAGTCACATGCAACTTTACATGAAATTTTCCAAGCAAACAAAGAAGCCTTTTGAAGGGAAAAAAGCCCCCCCCCCTCCCCCCCCCAGTTTTCTGTCACTTGATAGCTGTGCTTACAATTGGTACGCTTCTCAAGCTTCTAACAAAGACCTCCAAAGTGGTTTTAGTACCCTGGGATAAAAATGCTGAAGGCAATATATTGATTGCACTGAGTAGTGAAATAATTGATTAAAAGGGCCTTTTAAAATGCTGCTATATTAGTGTGCATTTTTTCCCTTAGAAGAAAAAAAAAAAAAACCCACCGCCTTCTTGACAAATCTTCTGCCTTGAAATATTAAAGTCTTCAAGTGCTGCTATCTGTCTGGCATCACTGCAAACGGTCAGTGTATGGCCAGTGTCTGATCACGTTGCTGTGCAGGGAAAAACCCTGTACTTGCTTGTGAACTGCAGACTCAGTAAATAGATTGTGAAATCTGACCTGCCTGTATCTTCATGGCGAAGGCCAGAGATCGCGTTTTACCCATAACCACTAATTTCTGGTCTGTGCTAGATCCCGATGCCATGTTACTATTTGCAGAATTAACAGTTAGATTCTGGCTATTACTAAATGCTAACATGCCAGATGTAGGTTAAAGATAAAACACTGTTTTTCTTTGTAGGCCACACAACACCGGTGCCCTCTCCCCTATCCTGTCTGTGCTCAAGATAAACCAGATGCTGAGCATAAGTTACCCTTTAACAAAACATCCCAGTGTTTTAACTTAACATAAAAAGCTGAGCTTTTTTTTTTTTTTTAAGCGGTCAAGAATTTAGGACATGGGAGGCAGCATTTGTGTCTCTGTTGCAGCTCATCACTGAGCAACAAAGATGCAGAATGTAAAAGAAGTTACAGAATCTGCTTGTATGAATGTCATCAGAAGCCCAAGCTGACAGCTCTTGAGCTTAAATGCTGCTGCTGTGAAGTTTGCAGCCCATACCTTTTAAGTGTGTTAACTATGGGGATATGTGCCAACCCCCCAAAAATGGCGGGGGGCAGAATTTTAAGCGAAGTGTTTTGTCTCTGTGTTTGCAGAGTGCTGAGCTAGTGAAATCAGTATAAGCTAATGCAGCTCCAGTAGTCCTTAAACTTTAAGCTGTCTGAAACATGGGATTTCCATAGCAGCCTAGTCTAGAAGAACATAAGCTTTTTTTTTTATACTTGTAAGAAAAATTACCCCTGCTGAGAAATCTATAATAAACACTGATGAAATAGTTTGACTGTGTGTAAACAAATTAAATTCTGGACTTAATGTACTTTAAAACATCTGGCCTGGCTGATGTGGGAGTGGTGATGGTGGTGGGAAAGCAATAGCAGAGTATTTTAAAAACTAGACTTCAAAAAAGAAAACCAAACAATAATTTTTGGAGAAGCAAATCATGGGTATTCAGTTCTAAAGTTCTTTCTCTGGCTGTAGACATCATCCTCTGCTCTCCAAAAGATTTCTTGCCAGAAAGTCTAAAACTTAGATGGAAAATATGTTTGTTTGGAACAAAACTTCAAAAAAGAAAAGAGATAAATTAGTTTTTTTATGGAAAAACAACTTGAACAGCATCTGAAATTGTGGTGATACTTAAATATTTACTATAATCATCTTCTTACCTACTTAGATGGAGATGTTTTACCTGAAACCACTGCCGTCACTTCAAGTGAAATACCAACAACTCTGGTGGATGCGTCGGACTTTGAGTGTTCCCTCTGCATGAGGTACGACTGCATTAGCCTGGGATTAAGATCGGAAAGCCTTTCTAGCTTCTGAAAAAAGTTTTCATGGTGTCAGAAGGGAAACCTGCCAGAGAATGTCTAAATCATTACTCTGTTCCTTGTTCCTGAACCTTGCATCTGGTGAATCTTTACAGATGTGGTTTTCTCCATTATGCATGATTTTCTCCATTGTTTACTGCTTCTAAAAGTGAAAACCTTTTTTTATATCCTTAGATAAAACTGTCACCTGTGATTTATACAAAAGCAGGAAAGGAAGAGGTGGCTGGATCTAGTCACTCCTTTCCACAGTTTGGGAATCTGCATTGTTTATGTTGGCAGCTGAGCTTTTTTGTTCTGTGTTTTCATGTTCAGGTTGTTCTATGAACCTGTTACCACTCCCTGTGGACACACCTTTTGCCTCAAATGCCTTGAGCGTTGCCTTGACCATAATCCGCATTGCCCGCTCTGCAAAGAAAAGCTGTCAGAAGTAAGTATGTCCTTGCCCTAATTAACAAAAAAATACAAAGCTGTGTTCTTCTGAAAGCATGCACGTGGAGGTTTTCTGTGCTCTACTCTGGTTCGCAGACCAGAACAACACGGTAGTATCCACAGCATCAAGCTGTGCACAGACCTCATTTGCTCCTGAATATATTTTGTCATTCCTTGGAAGATGCATGTGGTTTGCTGGTGCTGAAAGCAATCCCCAGGCTCGTGCCTGGGGATTCCCAACCATAGCCCTGTTCCTACCACCTCTCCAGTCTGTATCTCTGCAGTGAACAGGAATGGTCGATCCTTGGACAGAACTTCTGCTCCAGCAGACATAATGTGTCTGTATGTGGAGTACTTTTTGGGGAGCAGTAACCTGGCAGCTCTAGGTGAAAATAATATACTTATCTTCCACAAAAGCAAGGAGGGACTGCCTTTTCTCGGTGGTAGTACAACTTCTGCCAAAAAAAGGGCACAAGGTTATAGTTAAATGGGCACTGGAGTTGAACCTCGTATCCTAAAGTGGAAGTTTTGGTACCTGAAAGCTGGAAAGGAGAAATACTCAGTACAATCCTGAACTAACATGCTGCTTGGCCTTAGGAAAGGGGATGGGTTGGGAGGAAGAGATGTTACCCGACTTCTCATTATCAGACTTAGGAGTTGACTCTTCCTTGCAGTTTCTGGCAAGCAGAACTTACAAGAAGACCGTCCTTACAGAAGAACTGATAGTCCGTTACTTGCCAGAGGAGTTATCTGAAAGGAAGAAAGTTTATGAGGAAGAAATGAAGGAATTGTCAAAGTAGGCTCTCATTTTACTACTGACAGCTGTTACAAAAATGTATTTTTAATCTAAATTACTTGAAAAGCTTCATTTTCTTATGAAAATGCACAAAATGAATTAATTTGTAAATGAACCTGCCAGATGTTTTTGTATTTTTGACATGTTTGTTGAAGATGAACAAGAAACAATATGCTTGGCTGGTAGGGAGGCACAACAGTATTATTAAAATAAAGATAATTGTTTTTTCTCTGAAACAATGTAATAGCTTTAAAAGTTACAATGGGGGTTTTCTGAGAGTAGAAGCCCAATTATAAATGGGTTATACTTCAGATTGGGAGAAGTTCAAGGGTTCAGCATTGTCAGTGACCTGTGGATCTTATGCTACAACTCCACTAAAAAGAAAAATAAAACATGCAATTAAGCATGAAAAAATAATACAAGGATTAGTGGGCTTCTTCAAAATTAAAGGGCTTTACTAAGCTTGGAAATTCTCTACCTTCTTGCTTTGAACATTAGTTCTTAGGTACTATATTACTATAAGAAGTTACCACCAAAATCTTACTACTTGTATTTAAGTATTGATGTACACAAATTTGGGAAGTTGGCTATTATTTCCTAATTTTTCTTCTGTGACAGTAGATTAGAGGGATTGTTTCTTTAATGCACTAACAGCAAGAGTCCTGAAATACGTTTGTCTTGTAAAAATGGCAAACTTTGACCAGATACATGTCTACAAAGAATCACTGGACTCAGTGTCGTGTTAAGGGTTTATGCTGAATATAGCAGTACCCAGAAAAAAGCTGATTTTTTTTTTTTTAACGATTATCTTACAGTTTGAATAAAGATGTTCCCATCTTCGTATGTACCATGGCCTTCCCTACCATCCCTTGCCCACTCCATGTCTTTGAACCTCGTTACCGTCTAATGATAAGAAGATGTATGGAAACTGGTACCAAGCAGTTTGGCATGTGCTTAGCTGATGAATTAAAAGGGTAAGGAGATGGACTGAGGATGTCCTGTTGTTGCAGAGGCTGTTTGTGATGCTAATGGAATACTACAGCACAGGGTACTTGTCTCCCTAAACCACTGCGTTCCTTCCAGTCCTGTATGAACCAATACAGAAGTGGCTGGCTTTTTAGTTTCATATATTAAACATTCTTTTTGACACAAGGATGTAATTTTTATTGCTCCCCTGTTGGATGGATAGCAAGAATACAACTCATCCTGCTACTGCAGGCTCCAAAAATAGCACTTAATTGTCTGTGTGGTTGGAAAGCTTTCTAGCCTGTTTGTTCTAGTGACAGCTGACTGTCTGGATGAGGTTGCTCTTCTGTCTGCTCAGTTTTAAAATCCAAAAATAATACTTAAAAAAAAAAAACCAAACCAAAACCCCAAACCTGCACAGTTTTTCTGCATAGGTGGTACCATTTGAATGAGACAAAGTATACCCTTAGCTGAGAAGCCTGTTCTGCTGCTGAACGTTGAATTTTGATGTTTGTCTTTACTGCTCTGTTGCAATGTCTAGACTATCTGCAGTGAGTGGGCTACATTGTCTTTCTATACAATCTTACCTTTAATTCATTTTTGTTAATTCTGACACTGGTGTGTTTCCAGATCCCTATGTGGAGACATAATACTAATCATTAGATAAAAACCTTCAGGTTCTTAAGTCCTTTATAGATAATAGTTTTTTTGGTGAAGGGGATAAGAGGATGCTTGTGGGGAAAAAAATGAGGTGGTCTTAAGAAAGGTCTACCTTACGAGATGTAATAGGCAGTTGCTGACTTCAGAAGATGTGTTGGAGTGATGCAGACTGTAGAATGGATGACCAGTGTGGGAGTTTTTAAGAATATATCAGACGGGCATCCCCAGGAGCAGCATTTTTCTAGGTGATCATCCCTGGAGCTGAGAGGGAGGCACTCATACCGGGACTTGGCAGCCTTTCCTTGTCTAGTTCAGGGTTTTGGGTTTTTTGTTTTTGTTTGTTTTTTTTTTTCCTCCCAGACTGGATGGTAAGGTGGCAGTTAGAACACAGGAGATGTTACAGCTTCCAGTTGGCTCTGGCTGTGCTTCATGCCATTTGGCATGCTATTGGTGCTGCACTCAGTGGAGTTCAGGCTCCAACAGCTGGTGACGCTTCACAGTCCATTCCAGGCCTGTTACCAATTTCTGGAAGCAATTACTTGTAAGAGTGAGGACAAATGACCCTAGGACATGGGCGATAACTCCCCTTACATCTGTGACGGCTTGTGGAAGAGCCAAACATCTGTAGTCAGGTTTAATACAGAGGGCCACAGGGCTACAATCCCAAAACTGTAAGAATTGATTTATTGAATAGTGTCATAAAGGGTATTTAAAATGCAACCAGTATGGTTAGATTTTATGTCCTGTCTGGTTTGAGTTACTGAAATAATTAAAACTTAAGCATGGTAACTTCTACTTAAATCGAACACTGATGTGCAGGAAGCCTTCATGTGTAGACACCTGGCAGGCTGTTGTAGCTTCTTACACAAGTGAAGAAGTTCTTCTGTTTATTCAAAATTGCGAAATCACCTGGGAATAGAAACAGTGGGGAAATGTGTTTTGCCTCACCTGCTAAGACATGGATGTGGAAAGCTGAGATTCATACCTCCTTTGAAAAACACAGTGACAAGCAGCCAGCTTTCCCCCCCCCCCCACCCGTGATTTCTGGTAGAGTAGAAATGGGATTCATTTCCCTGTGGTGTTGCTGTTTCTTCTTCGCCCTGATGTAAGAAATGGCCAAACCCTGGTAAAACAAGCATTTCCCTGATGAAACATTTATCAGACCCTGCAGGGATTTGATATCTTTAGATGAGACTAGATACAGCGCATTCTCCTGGTTAGCAGTAGGCTGAGGTACAGAGCTGCAAATGCTGGCAGGTGAACACATCGTGGTGAAGAGTCATTGTGCAATCAGCCTCCCTAGTGAGCTCACTACTGTGCAAATGTAGAGTAGGTAAGCCTGATAATGTCAAGTAAAGATTTATTGCATGCTTGTTTCCAGGATGTGATTAAACCCTGTACCTACTTTAAATATAGCAGATACAAATGTGCTTTTGTAAAAGTGTTTTGGGTTTTTTGCTTTTGGTTGCTTCTTTTTTTTTTTTTTTTTTTTTTAACTTAAAGGATACAAGTGCAAGAACAATCTTGCTGTATAGAAGCCTTTTCCTTCTAAAGCCTGTAATCCTCTGCTTAAACCTCAGAGCAGGGGGATAGCCCTCCCCAGCCCTGCATTTGTTCCTCAGTTTCTGAACTTCTTATGGGATCTTTACCCATCTTGTTTTCTTTGCAAACTAGATGAATTTGCCACCAGCAGCTGGCAACACACACTCCCATTTAGTTTCCTGTCCCTTACCAACCTTCTCCCGCCTCCTTCCCCCCCTCCCCCCCAAAAAATACTTACACTCTGAAAATGCTGCTGCCCTGGACCTCTGAGGGAAGGCAGAAAGGGTGGGGGTTGTGTGGCTTATGTGAATAAGCAGAAATGTATTGTCACCAAAGCAGGATCCTCTTTCAAATAAAAAGTGGTGAATTAGGCCCAGTATTTGTCCTGATGTGTATAAACACTTGTTGATGACTTCCACTTTTATGCCCTTCTGTCATTTCAGATTTGCAGATCATGGCTGTATATTAGAGATCAGGGACGTAAAGTTTTTTCCTGATGGACGCTCAGTTGTTGATACAGTTGGTGTCCGTCGTTTTAGGGTCTTAAGCCATGGCCAGCGAGATGGATATAACACAGCAAACATCGAGTATCTTGAAGATAAAAAGGTGATCTATGGTGCAAAGTTATTCATACCCATGTATTGCTGGATTCACTTAAAGAGCCTTTCCTTGTTGCATTTCAAGCTAGCTGTGCCTTATTTTTAAACCAATATCATTATAAATACTAAAGCTCTATTTTGAAACCCATGGAACAAACTTTCTCTTCCTTCCCTTTCTTCCTTTCTGCCCTTATAATTATCTCTGCTTGAAGTGTTGCACTCCTTTCATGGATCTCAAAGTAGCTTCTGAGACTCAGGTGCTGAGGTCTGTCATGTGTAGGTGAGGTCAGGGTAATGTTTTTTAAAACTGATACAGACTTGAAACCCTTCTAAGAACATGTGCCCCTGTCGTTAGAGAACTGACTATTCTCTTGGCAGACTTCGTATGACCTCCAACCTCTAGTGTGCAGAACAGGTCCTCAAACAAATGTGGGAGTACGCTCTTAAAAGGAGATCTTAGTGACATTAGTTAACCATGCCTGTACAAGCATCCATCAGAGCTGGCTGAGAGCAGAGAAATGCAGAGGGGGGAGTGGTTTTTAAGAACAAGTCCTCTTACAAAACCTGTGTCAGGTGAGGTGCTTGTGATGGGTGTTGGCCAATGGGTGGATTTTTGGTCATGCTTAATGATGACTTCCCGGATCATCTTTAGAGCATGTCTGTAAAACCCTGATCCCTCGTAAGATTGAGTTTATTAGAAATCTCATGCCAATTGATGGAGTCCAGTCCGGTCATATAGCTCTTCAGTGCGCTCTCATAGTTGAAGTGCAAGTCTGTGATGTCTTAGTAGGGCTTTTCTAACCTGTGCAGGACAAGGCAGTTGTTTGCCAGGGTGGGAAAGTCAGATTGCCTGGAGGTGCCTCCCCCTGCGAAAGGTTGGAGTCGGTAGTCTGCTCAGAGCAAGGGCTTTGCCCTGTTTAAATCCCTGGTGAGGGCGGTGGAACACAGGTGTCCAGGCATTGTTTGTAGATGGTGCCAGAGACCCACCTCTTCATAATTATGGTGAGATTTACCGTGTCTCACTTGAGAGGCTGACGTCTGTTCGTGTTATATCTGATGGTGAGAAATGTCACTCCAAACCTGTCTGTTTTATCTGCTTTGTCTTAGATACCTACCTTAAGATGAGATTAATTGCCCTGTAGAGCTGTTTCTCCTTGACTGTGAAGGGCATCCAGAGCAGCTAGCTCAGATGTGCACCTGAGTAGCACAGGTGGATCACACCATTGGTGTGTACAGATCACAGAAAAAAAGAAAACCCCCAACCCCAAAAAAGAACCAATCAAAAAACCAAATCACCAATTTGTAGTAGGTTTTGCTTATGCTTTTTTCTTTTCCTTAATGGCTAATAGTCAGGCCTGTGCAACTAAAGCGCTCTGCTTCAGCGAGGGTCTTTTTTTATGGCCGTTTCTGGTATTGGGAAAGCATCTGCTTTCCCTGCTTCCTGCCTGCTCAGGTGTCTGCCCTCCTCCTCCTCGGCTGTCCTACCGTGGCCTTAACACTTCTATAAAATACTGCTGATCTCTAAATGCCATAGACCCCCTGTCTCTGTGCTCGGTGGCAGTAGTGTTTCTTTTGGTTTGCCAGACGAGAGAACAACGTTCAGAGGCCCTTCTGTGACAGGGAGTCGAGGTTGTGGGTTTGAGATGATTAATATAATGGCCTGGGATTAGAGAGCAGATTCTTCTGTTGTGCCATAGGAACGGATATTAACAAGGCAGTAACTGCTCCAAGAAATGTCACTTCAGAACACCTAGGGGAGGGTAAAAAACCTCCAGCATCACAGGTTTGAAATCTGAGACTTGGGTGCAGGTTGCTTAGATAAGGACATTTGAACAGCTGTAGTCACTGTATCATTTTGCTTCGCTTGCTTCTGGGGAAGCATATGAACTCCACGGTATCAAACCTGTTTTGTTCCGTCTCCCTTCTTTTAACAATAAGGTTGAAGGACCGGAATATGAAGAACTTGTCCGCCTTCATGATTCAGTTTATGATCAAGCTGTTGCCTGGTTTACTTCTCTTAAAGATAATATGAAAGTGCAAATTCTCAATCATTTTGGGTCCATGCCAGGAAAAGAGCCAGAGCCACAGGTAATAAAACCTTCCTACTTATGCATTCTTATTCTATATGTAATTTTTACACAAGACTATTTTCTGACAGGTTTTTGATGTGGGTTTTTTGCATTCCAAGCTCTTATTTACCTAATTTTGGTCTATTGGCGTGAAGCGTGGAAAACAATTAATCAGTGGAAAACAATGTATCAATGTAAGCTGATACCTGAAGAGATCAGTCTTAATGGCACGTATAGACAAGGGGAGCACCTGAAATTAAGTGTTTAGTTGCTGCTTGAACTGTTTGCTTTATGGTGACTTTCTTGGCAAATAGAAAGTGGGAAGGAAGGTGGTGTTCTTCATGGGGCAGTGCTGGTGAATACATGATTGCATGCCTTTCCATCCTTTTGCAGAGCAACCCCAGTGGTCCTGCGTGGTACTGGTGGCTCTTGGCAGTGTTGCCTCTGGAAAACAGAGCTCAGCTGGCTATACTGGCTATGACGTCCCTTAAAGATCGTCTTATCGCCATCAGACGTGTATTGATATTTGTGACTCGCAAAAGACCCAGATAACATGGACTTCAGTTGTGAGTGGGCACCAAAAACATCTCACGACAGGTTGTTCTGGGGGAGGGCAAAGAGGGAGGGGTTGTTTTTGGGGTTTTTTTTAAAGATTCCTTCAAAAAGGAACAGCCCTTTCTGACTGCGTCCAGCATCCATTGATTGCATCGGTTTGTTATCCTGGGTATTCACCAAACCTTGCACTCTCTCCTGTTGTCCTGGTGAAATCTGAGCCTCTACAAAGCTATGCTACAGTTAGAGCATAGCTGATAGATGTGGATAATTGCTTCAAAGTTGATGTTTCTAGCCTGCAAGAGAGTTAAGTACTAGAGTAGCACCATTGGCCTGCATGCGATGTGGATTTCCACTTGGTAGGAAAAGGAAACTGGACAGTGGATTGAAGAGGTGTTTCCTAGACTTTCTCAAAGGTAGTGAACAGAAGAGGAGTTATGCTGCCCGGCAGAAGTATGCATGAAGACTATAACCAACAGTATGCTCTGTTAGCAAATCGGTAGGCGGTCTGTCATACACCCACATCTCTCTCTTTTCAGCAAATAGCAGTCTGTGAGGAAAAAAAAAAATTAAGCCGTTTGTGGTCAAGGCATCTGAGGATGTTTATCTGAAAGAATAATAGCTACTGAATAAGTACACTATTTAGTAGCCTGAGGTAATCCCTCGTGTTGTGATTTATGTGTTGTAGCAGATTGGCTATGTACAAAACGTTTGGAAAGGTGTACTTTGGTTTATTGGGGGGGAAAAAAAAAATCAAAGTAATCCTAGCTGGTCTTATCGCTAAATTCAAATCACACTGACTCCCTCAAGTATGATGAACTCTGCTGTGAAATAATGATTTCACTCCCAAGTACGAGGAAGGCATGCCGCAGTTTGCTCTGAACACTTGTTCTGCACGTGGGACCGGCGAGGATGAAATGTGGGGAGGTCTCCATCTCCCTCCTGCCTGCAGTGTCATGCCAACCTCCCGTTACATTGGAGTGATCTCTACTGACATGTTTCAAACCGAAAGTATTGTAGTTTAGTACCAGTTGCTGTATGTGATGGAAATCAGTCCACAGTAACACCGTGAAAGGAGGCACAAACTGAACTTACAAAGGCAAGTCTCAATGCAAGCTTCAGTCAGGTGTTAACCTTCATTTGTCTTTTTGATTATTTTTTATGTATTGTTTTGTTAATATCTAACTTTGATAGCTATTAAATTGATCGCTTGTCAGTCAAATGATCAACATTTGCTCAACTGCCAATGAAACAGCTAACAGTGTTACCAATTCAATTGGCATAGTTTCCTATAAGTAGGACCGATACTACCAACAGGAAAAAAAAGTTGACTTGAATCTCCATGTGCTGCAAGCATAGCAAGACCAATGTAAAGACTTGTTCGTGTTCAGAAGTCTGGTAAGAAGAAATGGCTGTTTACCTAAATGGTCAAAGTGCCTGGTTTATTTTTTAGTTCTTTTGTCCTTATTTGTCAATGAAGATGTATTTAAACTTTTTTTTTTTCAATTTGCACATGAGTTCTGGAAGAAGACTGCATTAAAATGCAGCGATTAAGATATATTACCTGCTCTCTTTGGGTATTGTAGTCATAACCTGTGTGGTCTGGGAAACAAAAATACAGAGTTTTTTTCCTTTCAGCAAATGGCTACCACGAATGGTTTCTGTAACATACCCTGAATGTACTGTAACTGCCTCTACCTTGAACACGCCTTTTCTATTTAAATAGTTTGTAAGTATATACTCTGAATTGTGAAGTGCATATAACTTACAACCAATGATGTCATAACCTCTACAGTAGCCTTCTGCAAGTTCTGCTACCGTCACCAAAATACTCAAAATTCAAGTTGAATGCGTTTCCTCCAGGATTTGAAGATGATGAAGAGGAAGTCACTGAAGTATAAAGGAATTGTTGTATATATGGGGGAGGAAATGTCAGAAGTCAGTAGGTCTTCAGCCCACTGTCAGCTGAGCTGCCGAAGGGTGGTTTCGCAAACTAATTCTCAGACCAGAAGATGGACTGTATTTGATCTCGCAATCCTTTCTGTTCAGCTTCCTGTTCTTCCCATCCCTTTCCATGCTGTGTGTGTTTCTTCTGGACTCACTCATCTCGCTCCTTTGTGTGTCTGGCCTAGTTTCGAGTATTACTAGTTTAGCTGCAAGGGGACGCTGATGGTATTTGTATATTGCTGGTCCCTGATCTTACATGTGCTTTATTTTACGTATAGGAGTGCGTTTAAGGAAAAAAAAAAGAAATAAATATCAAGGTGCTAGTTAGTGTCTTCTTGGCTTTGCCTCAGTAACTAATGTGAATATTCTTCTTTGCAAAAGTGATTTTTTTCAAGATACCTACTTTTGAGGTACTTCTGAGAGGAAACCCTACAGAACAAGAGAGGTGGTTTACTGCTGTTCTGTAATATGTAAAGACACATTTTACATGGGAAGTGACATTACTGTGTTCATGAAGGCCTGCATAATTAACGGAATGATAGTGATCGAAGAGAAAGCTGAACTGTAGAGGGATTTTTTTTTAGTCAAGGTTTAAAGCGGTTTGTGAATATTTCAGTGACTGATGTTTTGGATAAATGATAACAACATAGGGATTGTCTGTGTATGGATGCAAATAATCATATTAGCAGCCCAAAGCTGACATTTCTTCCAAAACATTGAATGCTGATCAAATAGCAAAGCTTTAATAAATTAAAAAAAAAAAAAAGAAAAAAAAAAATCACCACTGCCCTGTGGTACTTGCTTTCTAAGGGAAAGTACCAATTTCATTGTTACCAAATTATCTCTGCCATATAATCTCTACAGCATCCAGTAGTACCTCATGGGAAAAGCTAGCTAGCTCATTTCTCTCTAGAGGAAATGTCCACGTTCTGGCTGATCTACGCTTAAGTGTAACCTGTCGCCGAGGTACATTTGGAAACATTGGAGCTGAGCTCCTGGAAGAGAGAGACAGGATTCGTTGCCTTTCTAGCTCATTACACTTCTCTTGCTTGCTGTCCAAGCAAGGATGCTGGGATATATGATGAGTCTTTTCACTGTGGTGAATGTGGCCCTTCTTTATACATCGTAAAGAGGCCAAAAAAAAAAAAAAAATCCCTCTACCTCTACACCTGTTGTTCACCTGTAAAGCTTCAAGCTACAAAATTATATATATATTTTAACCTTTTTTTGTCTTTCAGAAACATGCTAATTGTTTGCCACTGAGGCCTTTTATCTACTGTATTTTAATATGTTCATTTGATAGTCATCGAGATCTCTTTGTACTTCTAACCTGTAGATCTTGTCATGTTTCTTACTGCTCCTTTTTCCTTGTTCTCCAGTCCACTTTTAAATTGATAAATAGAAAGCTGTACACTCTCTATTCCTATTACATTTTACACTAGTGGAACTGGTATTTTGGTAGCGCCTTAATTTTGCAGTTGTGAAATGATTGTATCAACTCTTATCTGGGGCTTCTGACCAGATTTAAACGAGTATGTTTAATGTAGATAAACTTGAAACCATTTTTTACTGTTTTAAAGCTAGTTATGAAATGGAGTGTGTACATATGTATAAATATAAATTATTAATCTGCACCTTTTTGTATCTAGTAAATACAGGAGAAGTTCATGTTCTAACCACATTTGGCACTTCTTGTTGCATAAGCAAAGCCAAAACTTTTTTTAAAAATTGCAATGTTCATTTCATGTATATTTGCAATATTCATGGGAAATGTATTTAATTTATGTGATATTTGGAATAAAACAGATTGAATTTATAAGAGCGTGAGTTTATGGGAAAGCTTTATTACTCTCTGAGGGCTAAGAGCTAGAGCCATGGTAAATACGGTCTGAACAGAAACAAGCCGCTGATGTGCCGCTGTCAGAAGGGGGATGGATGATAGTTTGATTTCCTCGACAGGAGCCCAAGGGATGAGAATGGGCCCCGTGAGGTTTTAAGAAGCAAATGGCATCCCAGAAGCAGTGGTCAGGTGTTGCAGTTGCACGCGAAGCTGCATGGCAGAAATTTTAGCCCTGGTGCAGAAGCAGGGGAGGCTGCAGAGGACGCAGCACTGTGGGGTTTGCTGGGAATTTGGAGCAGCCTGAGGTGCTGCACGTGAATGGGAGGGGTGGATTTTAAGGGGAGCAGGGGGTCTCCAAAGTGGGAGGAAGGAAAGGAGCCCTCAGCAGAGGTGGGATGGGGGAGATGATGTCACTGTCAGTTGAGCAAAACCACTCTGAAGGCATTTTCTGTAAATATTTTTTTTTTCTTTTGGTGTTGGATTGACTTTGGCCTCATTTATGCTGCATTTGTGCCTGTATTCACTGAATGCTTGAGCAAACAAACATCAGTTACAGGACTGCTCTTCTTTTAAAAGAAGTTGCAAGCGTGTGTTGGAGTACATGTATAAACGATGCTTGAGCTGTTTTGATACATTAGACATTAGTTCCTTAAACGTCACTCCTTTCACCAAAGGAAGGAGGTGGCAAAGATGACTGATTGACTTTTCCTCTGTACGACAGTCCTAGTGTGCCTCAAGACTTTGAGACCAACAGAAGCAAAATAACTATGAAGTTGGTAAATATTAATAGGAAGTTTTTTTCTCACCCTGCATATCCTTTGCTAGCTGATGCTGAGCCCTTTTCCCTGAGCCTCAGAGTGATGCCATTCCTAGAGCACAGAAACCTTAGTGGTCTGTTGTCCTCTTTGCATTACTTTTTGCTTCATCAAGCAGGGAGCCCGAAACAGTGTTGCTTAATTATGAGCAGCAGCAGTTGCATTACAGTGGTACTTACCTGACAGGAGGCTGTAGCAAGGTGGGTGTTGGTCTCTTCTCCCAGGCAACAAGCGATAGGATGAGGGGAAATGGCCTCAAGTTGTGCCAGGGACGATTGGATATTAGGAAAAATTTCTGTACCGAAAGAGTGGTCAAGCATTGGAAAGGCTGCCCAGAGAGGTGGTGGAGTCCCCATCCCTGGAGGTGTTCAGAAAACGTGTAGATGTGGCACTTTGGGACATGGTTTAGTAGGCATGGTGATGTTGGGTTGATGG